AGCAATAGGATGAGAGGAAATGGCCTCGCTTTACACCAAGGAGATTGGATGTTAGGAAAAATTTCTTGACTGAGAGTGGTCAGCATTGGAACAGGCTGCCCGGGGAGGTGGTGAAGTTTGGAAGTAATCAAAAAATGTGTGGATGTGGTGCTTCGGGACATGGTTTAGTGGGCATGGTGGTGTTGAGTTGGTGGTTGGACTTGATGATCTCAAAGGTCTTTTCCAACCTTAATGATTCTGTGAAACAAATGGTATAACAAGATCTGTGTTTTAGTTTGACTCCTAAAATGGGCTATTACTAGGATCAGTAGACTATGACTTAGGTTTTCTTTTGGGGAAAAAAATGGAAGCTCATTACTGAATATCATTGCTGTATGAGCATTTGAGCAAAATAAGATCTTCTTCAAGTCCATCTCTCCATTCCTAACTCAGTGACCATAGTTGTATCTAACTTAGTACTTACATGCTGCACAAGTCCTTTTTCTGACACTTATTTTTTTCTATATGGGTAACAATATACAACTTCATCAAAATAAATGTCTATCTCTAGCCCTTCTAACAGGAAAAAAACCAATTTTTTTTCTATTACAGTTAATCTTTGATCAAACATTTCTATCTGTCTTACCCAGATAGGTATTAAAATCATATTTTTTCAGGCTTTTCTAATTCTAAGCTGCATTCAAACTATACAAATTCCGTTTACCCTTCATATTTCTCTCATTTTCTCTTTAAATCATTTCAGTTTTTACTTTTTCCCCCTATAAAGTTACATTATAATGATATTTCATTCCAGAAAATTTACATTTCCTTATTACCATGATTTAACAAAATGTAGCCTTTTTATAGGAATGACTTTAATGCCCCATTTACCCATATCCTCTAAGGAGTTTGTCATAGCAACATTAGATACTGTTTAATAGAGTTGATCCATTGCAGGGTAACTATACCTTAAAGAACTGGTACAAAAAACTATGAGTTGGCAATGGTGCTGCTCCAATGCTGAGCTGATCACAGTAAAAGATGATGGGGATAGCATGAGGGCACCTCTCCAGAAAAGTTCTTCATCACGATGATGCCATTCCTGAGAGTAGTTCACACAGCCTAAGCAGATGAACGCAAACAATATGCAGTCCCCCTCCTCTTGTCCTTCCAGTCTTCCCACCTCAAAAAAAAAAAAGAAAGGAAGTCTTACCAGCTTATCAGCTCTTTCAGCATGTTCTGCACCCCACCTTCTAACTATGTAAGAACAGAAGCAGCTTAAGCTCAGAGAACAATATGGAAGGTTTTCACTGCACTTTTCCACTGTTTCCAGATTCTGCATTTCTCATGTACTATAAGGGCTACACCGTTTCTTTTTTTATGGCTTCAAGCATCTTCAAAGAGAGTACACTCACCTTCTTGCAACTAGCAGTCTGATTCCTTTTCCCTTCCTTTACAACATGATGTTACAGAAAAAAGTGTTAGGGTCTTTTTCCCACGTTACATTCCACCATTCCTTTTTCACCTCACGTCAGACTTTAAGGTGGTTAAAGGAAGAATGTGACACACACCCCCCGTCTTCCATAAGAATTTTAAATTTTATTAATACTTCACATAAAAACAATTAAAAACCCACATCCCCCCCCAAAAAAGACAAAACCACATATCTACCACAGCACAAGCAGCACTGAACACCAGTTTGTTATTAGAGGCCAAATAAGTCAGACCAAATACTGATTAAATCTTTATTAATAAAAAACTCTTAGTATAAAAAAATAGAATTGTTTGTTCTGTACGCTTAGAGGGAGGACAAAGATGAAACAACACAACAGCAGTAAAGATACATAATAGGTCAATTTAAAGATTCCTGAAACTGTTTTCAGAATTGTGTTCTCTTCTGTTGTTACGTGTTATGCATTTATTGTCTCCACCAAAACTGTAAGTTTCCTGAAGCAGCCACTTGATATACTTTGGAGTCTTATGCATAACCATGACAACCATTAACCTATAATGAAGAATGTTGGCTGTATTAATGTTTGCTATTGTTTGTTCATCCAGTGATGGACAAAGGGTCAGGTAGGTTTAGGAATAGTACATGCAAAAGCTGCGTAGATAACTTACAGAAATTATATCATTCAGCTAAATACTTGTTGTTTTCCATGGCCTCTGATGCATTTCAGTCGTACCCAGTAGAATAAACAATCTAATGTACTGCTTTGCTATGCTGAAGACCAAATGAAGCTATGTTACAGTATCTTTCAAGAGCATGAATGACAACAAAGGTAGACTTGGTTAATAACATTAATGTGATTACTTTGAGTTGAACACTTGGCCAACTCCAGCACATATTCACTGCTGTCAGCTTAGTTGTTATCGATAGTATTAGTCACTTGAGAACAAGTAGCTCTTTAACTACAGCAAAGCAGATGAGAATAATCTAAAAGTAAAACAGAGCTAAGACTATCAACTCTGATTAAGGTTGCTCTTCAGCTTGGAAGGTGTCAGTAATCCATTAGGATTACTGGTTTCTTGTCTATCATCTCTTCTATTCTGTCCTCAAACACCAACATGCGTAGATATGAATGAAAGTTGTACCTGGCTATTTGAGGTCAGGAGCTACTCACCCTGCTTGAACAAAGACCAAACTGATTACTGTTTCTTTGTGTTATTGGGCTTCCTCAAAGCAAAGCTATTAACAAGCATTCTTGTAACCTTACTCTCTGTAACTGGTACATAAATACTTAATAGAAACATGTACCATAGAGCAGTCCTACTCTTGGACTATATATCTCAATCTTGTTTACATCAGTGTGACTGCCTGTAGAGTTGATATCTTAAAGGTAAAACGTAACAGTATCACCTATTGCAAAGTCATTCAATATACATGCTTCTGCTAAACCTACAATATCCTACTTTTACTGTAATTTTTCTCTAACTATCCAAGAAAGTCGACAGCATATTTAATCCAGACAGCTTCCATTAGAGACACAGCTCAAATTATAGCAACTGTGTAATGAACAAGGTAGCCCATGGACATGTCCATTAAGCAATATCATTTAAGCCACTGACAAATATTTTGAAAATACACTTTTCTGCTCTCCTAAAGGTTTTGTTTTCTTCTTGCAGCTGAACCCAGACATCAGGAAGATCCCAAGCCTCTTGGAAAAAAAAGTCTTACGTAGTAACTCAGTCAGTAAAGCCAGCATGCTGTCCCGTTCAACTGTTGGTACTGCAGAAATATATATAAAAAGGTTATGAATAGTATTATCATTATATTTTCCTCAAAGATATTTATCTGCCTAAGTATTTTTGAATGCATTCATATCAGTTTTTTAACATAAAGTATGCATAAATGAGTGTGCAAGTATTATAGGTAGAGGATGAAATATCACTATAAATGTAGAACAGTAACAGTCACTAGCACCTGCTTAATGTGAACTAGAATATGAATTAATTTATTAAAATAAAAACATGGGAAGCTTCTATAACCATACACTTAGAGTATCTCGTATTTAAGTCATCAAAATACCATTGTACCCCCCAGATTGTTTTAGTTGATTATGACTTTAGTAACCCTTTTATTACCAAAAAGAAAATGGAATGTGTAAGTTATCCCTGTCATTGTAAAAGCAGGACTCACCTGCTTGCTGATAGCGTTTTTCTGCCAACAGTTGGTGGAGATGGTTCACTATGGAAAAAGCTTTTTATCCACCAACATTTATCAATTAATTCAGGTAACCCTGCAAAAGGAGAAAAAGCCCACACCATTAGACACTGCCTGAATAATGAACAGGCAAAACCAGAAGGCTTTTTGAAAGAAGGGAACAATACCATGAAATGCTTTGTCCTGGTCTGTAATGTTCACAGCATCCGAATAGCAGGAGGAGCTGGAAGAAACACTGGATTCCGAGTTCTGTCTTGCTGTTCATGGAAAACAGAGACATATATAATGAAAAAATGCTTTGAGAGAGTACACTATTTCTATGCCAAGAATTTTTCAGACTTGCTGCTATCCTGGAGGAAGCAATCTAAAAGATAAGTTTACTTAACTACGAAGTATAACTTCTATATTTTATACACCATTCTACTGCAGTTCTTTAATTTTTTTTATGTGAGTTGATCTCAGTCTATTTACTCTTCACTTAAAAGCATACTGAGACCTGTTTGCATACCTTTCACTGAAATCACTGACAAATCTTACTATCATGTACACATCGCTATCAAGATAGATGAGGATTCTTGAATATTCAAGCCCAAAACAACCTAATTGCTATACCTTCCTTGTGATAAAACTAAATACTATACTCCCACTACAATGTCCAACCTGTATAGAGGATCCTAATAGATCAAATACATTGTTTCTAAATATGTGAAATAGTCACTAGTTTGAGAGTGTGAGTTGATTTTGTGTTCTGCCTAAGCCTGCAGAGTAAATAGGAAGTATAACTAGAAGCCAAGACTATGTCATGTTTTATAATTTTAAAAAAAAGGCTATTACATACCCCTAATGAACAATTCCAAATAGGAAAAAAAAAAAAAAAAAAAAAGAATTATAACTGGCAGCAGATGTTCACTAAAACTGAAGTTCCCTGATATAATGAAAAACTCCCCAAGCAATTAAATACTGCCAGGCAAAAACATCACCTGAAACACTTTCTGACTTTCCCGAGTGGTAACAACCCGGACACTTCCTCGGGAGAGGCTCGGGGGGGCTCAGCCTCCTCCAGAGGAGCCCCCCCGAGGGGGAGCAGCTCCCGTCCCCCCCGAGCACTTACTTCTGTAGTATTGGTTCTTGGCCAGGAGGCAGCCGGCGGAGGGTACCGAGGCCATGGCAGCGGCACGACGGGGAAACCGCTTCTCTCCGGGAGGAACCTGCGGGGGGAACGCCGCGCTTTGCCGAGGGGAGCCGCGCCCGGCCGAGGACAGCGGCCCGCTAGCGCTAGCAC